GTTCTTCCAGTTAGGCGGCTACCGAAACAGTGACAATTAGGAAGTAGAGAGGAGAAAAAGCAAAAAAAAGAAAAACAGAAAAAAACTAAAAAAGCAATTAGTCTATAGAATATTTGTTCAACCCAATTTTAGCCCGAATTGAAAGATGTTCACACGTAGCATCGCAATTCCAACTAAGAGTCCCCGTGATGATGCATCCAGAAACTCCTCTGTTCCTTTGACTCTTACGTAGATCATATTTTCCTAAGCCTGAAATGGTAGGTCTACTAAATAACGTTCCTAGTCGGGATAGACGGGATAATAATCCTCATAATAAGATATTCTATTTTATTTCCATTATTTTCCCTATATTTTTCCAGAGCCCAAAAAAATTTGCCCAGAGCCAGATCCCAGTAAGGGGGAGCAAAGAGAACGTCAAGACAACTCAACCCCAGTACACCGCTTATTACTTCCCAGAAAAAAAGAAAAAATATATATATAAGCCCAAGTGAAAAAAAAAAAAGGGCAGGGCCAAAGTCCCCTTGCGTTTTGTCCTCTTTTTTCAATTAATCTAGATTATTATTGCTGTTATCCACTAATAGAGAGACTAAACTATTCACGGACTTGATTTCCAACCCGAAAATCTCGGTTCAAGGTTGACAGATGTCAATTCCCATGCATTCCAAAAGTGACAGCTAGGGATTTACTTTTTCTTTAGTCCTACCCAGATATGCATTGACCACCATACATGGACCTAGATCCAATGGTTAGGAATCGGGGAGATGATATTTATTTCCCATATCCTATTTGCATTATTTAGTGGGTTCTGCAAGTGGCGCTTTGCTCACAGACCCTTGAGAGGTCGGTGAACATGGGGTCGGGAAAATACGGGCTATATATCAATGGCATTCTTATTAATAAATGTAAAATGCTTGGCAGTAGATCTTCTATTCTGCGAACTATACGGAGGACGGAGTACTATTTTCTTGCTAAAGCAGGTACTAACCTAAGACCTAGAGGGCAAAAAAAAAGAGGGGGCTGACAGATCCCTGCACCGCAGCTCGCTATCGACGGCCCGATACCCGCTGCACATACACCGTACAGTAGTTTAGGGGGATCCGCCTCAATACTTTCTAGAAAAGGAAATAGCCTTGGGATTTGATAAGTGAAGGGGGTCGGTTGTGGCTTTTTCGCATTGCATCTCTCTTTTTTTTTTTTTTTTTTTTTTTCCATTTCCGAAAATCTGCCTACAGATCCACTATAAATCCACACAGTTATTGGAACGGCAACTCCGCAATTCGGGTGTGATGCGTCGTATGGAACCGTTGAGTGCAAGGAGATACTCTGATATGATAGGTATACCTAGGAACAATAGTATTTGAAATATATAAATGTTAAAAAGAATATAGCGTTTCGATCGTTTTTCTGTGTGATCAACACGGATCAAATGGACGTTACAGAAATTAGATACATAATCTTGTCAATGACAAGGCTCCTACACAACCTCCACTTCACTGTTTATGCCAATCTCGCGTCGATCGACGGGTTCGTCCGTACCTTGCAGCGAGTTACCCTGCAGACTCTGTCCGTGCAGACTTTCAGGCTTTTCTTATGAGAATAGAAGGCTTTGTTTAATTTGGATTTTTTGGTCTATTTTCTATTTTTTTCTCCTTTTTGTTTTTTCTTCGAGTTGCACTATTATCAGAGTGATATGCGGGGGTTTTTTTCCCTTCCTTTTTCTGTTCCGGCGTATAAAGTTTCACCAGGGGCCATGCTTTTTCCCATGTACCTCATAAGAATATGCCCGAAGCCGTCTGGGCAGACGTTGATGCCAGATAAGGCCAACTGACAATCGGGGACACAATGGGTACAAGGCCTTTGAGAGGTGTGGTACAGCATAATTACGATATACAGAGACTCGGACACGAGGAGAATTTGAGCGAGAGCCGACGACTGACAGGGATATTCCCTGCAGCCTATTGATTTGTTGTACAGGATGGGGCAAATTACAAAAAAGCTAACCGAGATAGTGTCCTCGTATATGGAGCAACCCCGTATATTGCTACCATAGGTGGTAAGTACTTGCCCAAGTGGGTACGGAGTATAGGCGTGGATATCATATTATGAGGTACATATACAACCCTAGGCCAATCCTAGAATTGGTGACTCTGGTATCCATGTGACTTGGGGTAATTTGTGAGGCGCCACTTTTCCTCGAATAACAACGCACCACGAAGCCAGGATCTGGCGTGATGGCACTAGGCCGGGGCCGTGCAACTTGGATTTAACCTCGCATTGCATTGTCCCGTGGAGCCAAGAGATCGACTGCACGTTCATCTTACCTTTACACACTCTAGCGCTGCTTGTGTAAGGAGAGAGGGGAAACACAAAAATACGCTCTATGTGAATAGTATAGCAAGTGTGAGAATTATTTTTTTGTACAATGTACCATATCTCCTCTTGAGTGAATCTCTACAATGTACGGAGTAGAAGAAAGCGAATGAATAATTCAACCGCCGTAACCGTTAGCAAGCGCCACTATTCTCGAGTCATTTACTCCATTTGCTCCAGTGACATAGTCTAGTTCAAAAGTGAATTTCATATCTCCGAAATATCCAGGATGGCTCGGGCCAAATGTGTAACGAGACTAAAACTCCCCATTCAAACCAGCGGCGCCAATGATTGGCTTTACGCACCAGCAGCCCGCCGATCGATGATCCGACGCAACAATGACTGGCTGTGACAACAACCACGTAGGAAGGGCTAGATCGTGTGGATTCACCGCCAGTTGCCCCCCTTGCGTGCAGACGTGGCACAGAGGATTATCTACTCCGTAGCTCCATCTGGTATGCAGTGACCCGCTGCTGTGGAGGACTTTTTTTGATGTATGTCAACCGTTGTCTGGTTTTTGTATGAAATTATTATCATAGAATGAGACAAATATGAATTTAAAATTGTTATATACATTTTCATTTTTCTATCAACCTCGCCGATGTCGGGCTGTTTCGGCCGATCGGGATGTTAGAGTACAGATAAGGGAAATATGTATGTTAGTAGACAAAGGATCAACTATTATGTACGACATAGTCAAAACATGCCACTGTGAGATTACTGTGAGATTTGAACTTGCTTTCTATGTTGTACAAAATGTATAACTAGTCAAAAAGCAAGTCTATAGAAATTTGTCAGTAGCTTCTGCACTACCCCATCATTTCACAGTTCAGCCCTTACTATAAGCCAAAGGAGACAGATCAAAGATCGTAACCCTTTCTGTAGAGTTCATGTGATACTATCACCGTATCAAAATAAGCAACTCTCTCCTGTGTGCCCCTGTGTCATCCCTAATAATGACAATGATAATGCGGAAAAAAGAAATAAAAAATTTGGGTAAGTCTAGAACAAGGAGACCCTAGGTTGGAACACCAGACCTAATCCCAATCGACAGAAAGCGATAGCCAGAGGAAAAATCCAAAGCCCAAAAGAGGAAAGGAGGAACTTGCTCACCGTCTCTTTGCTGTCTCAGCTCATATTTTATAGTATGTGTGCATCTGACACCAACACACGCGCCGTCCACGCTTCTCTCTCCCCGGGGAGGCGTCGCTAGTCGATCGAAGAATGCAAATACCATGCAGCATGCAGCGTGCAGCCCAAGATGCAAGTATCATGTACGATGAAACCAGAGCCAGAGTGACAAGCTAACTGCCAAGTGCCAGCGCAGGGCATCTGAGAGTAACTGCCGCCCACGGACTGGGTTGCTGTGCATGAAATAATTGTACATATGGGGTAGTCAATAGTGCCCAGCCTACTGTCTATGGGTGCGAATCATTCCCGGGGCGTAGGATACGGGGATTACCACATTCTCGAACCATGTCTGCCATTCATATTGTGCATAGAGTGCATATCGGGGATGGTGTGGTTGGGTAATGCATATTGTCTTAGGTATTGAATTTGTGTCTTTTATTATTTTGTTTTAGGGGAAATGGAAATTTGCTCTTGTTAGTTGGGGTTGGGGAATGTCTGGGAGGTGGATGGGGTTGGCAGTTGTGCAGGAATCTTTCAAGGTTCTTACATGTGTGTTCGAACTTCACGATTGAGTACGTACTCACCGCTGGTTGAGGACCTGCATCGGCTGCAATTGTCGTGTCTGTCAAGGGATAATCCGTGTTGTTGAGCTGGTGGCGGTGGGAGGTTGGTATATCCCTTGATTAGGGATTGGGATGGCGGAATTGTTGCAGCTTGTCTTCGTAGACCGATTGTTTCCCGTGGGAAAATGGTGGGAATCAGTTTGAGAGACTTGGCCTCGAGTTTTTGCTGATAGAAGCCTTGGTTTTATGCTTATTCTCTACTTTGTCCTTATGCTTATGCAGTACTTGTGCTTTGATCTCAATCTGATAGGGGATGTAGTGATGATAATGCAATGGTTTACGCACGGCGGATCAGTGCTGACAGCGTCGGTGCATTGACTCGAGGGGACGGGCATATCTGCAGTGCTCTGTGCTATGTACTCCTTAGACTTGAACACGCTTCTAGAAGGCATGGCTGATGCAGTATGCTGTCTCCCGTCGTTATGTAGGGATGCTACGGTTCCTGCTGATAGATCGCCGGGATCATATATGTACTGTCTCGGTTCGATATATAAGTCAAGGTGTGCGAGGTTGAGACTGAAGCTTCGATTAATGGGCTTGGAGGACATGGTTTGGTACATATATCTTGAGTCATGGTGCATCTCCCAATATATATATCCTCTTCAAGTTATATATGAGTGGCATGGCTAGTGCGGGTTACAATTTCTAGACAATAAAATAGAAAAGTCCCAATGAGAAGATATATAAATACACCACACAAAGAAACCAGAAGCATCATCTGAACGAAAAGAGTGTTTGTCCATTGAAGTAACTCTAAAGCTAACAATATTCCGACAAACTTCTATACCCGACCCAACCATATTCATCATGATTTTTTTTTTACAAGCATATCTCATCAAAGGTGCGGAGCATAATCACACATCAGCGCTGATATATTCATCTTTTACCAGCTTGAGCAAAGATCTGTTGCCAAATGTCGATCCACTGCTGATGCTTATATGACAACTGACGGTGGGGGTTGCGGAAAGTGTTCGAAAGGATCTCGCGCAGGCGGCTGTTGAGAATTTTCAAGGCTAGCATAGACTTCCAATCTCGCACAGCGAATCGAATACGGTTTGCGTCAATGGAGACGACACCAGAATACATCTATTTGGTGGTGGTTAGCTTATTGCCAAATGAGACTAGGAAAGGATATGCGAAAGATCGCTGTCGTACCTTGAACTCAGCATCACCACACAGTAAGGCTATGGCAAAATCATCCACTGCGCTGGTATCATGCGCGTTGAGGTTGCGGGCACGTGCCATGATGCTGTAGTATGACAGCCACTTGACGGACGAGTCCGCCCTCTTGTTGACAGAAACCGCAGGTAGTGTGACTGTCTGGTTGTTGCCAACGTTGCGCCAGCCCTTGCCTTCGCGCGTCAGAAGCTTAGGGTAGAAACTCCAGGCGATGACCGAGTTGATCACAACATCGTTGTCACTGTTGACATCGAAGTCTTCAGGGATGATGAAGAATTGGCGGTTTCGGCTGTTGGAACGCGCACTGCAGGGTTGGTTAGCAGTTGTCAGGATGAGACGTGATGTTTGGGCGAAGGGATTTCTTACCGGTTAAGGGCCGCTTTCTGTGATGTATCTAGGGTCAGAAGACCTGCGTCGGCAATTGACACTACCAGTTGCATTTTGATATCCTCGATTGCCAGCAATGTCTGGGCGCTGAGGAAGTTCTTTCGGCAGAAAGAATACTCATTGGACCCCGGTGTGCTTCTCGTACGTCTCCAGCTGCAATATGCGTTGTATACGGTCAAGAGATCCGAGTCACCTAGCATTTGTTAGTTATCAACTGTGGGAGACCGATATATTTTGGGACATACCTCTTCGGAAAGACGCCCGTGCACCATCGCGTTGTGAATTGGATCCGATTGTATTCACAAATGGCGATTTGGAAGAAAGGATGGCAGCAATGCTGACAGTCGCATCCAAGCACCGGAAGAAGGCTCCATGAATGATCATTTTGCCGAGGAACACATCCAGCGGCAATTTGGCCAGTTGTGTTCCCAGAGAGGTTAGGCTCTCGTTGCTGGTCAGTGCTTTAACTTCCTTCAATGAATCAATGGCGCGGCGAATGTTTTTAGACGACGGCGGGTCAAGAGCTTCGAGGAGTGTCTGCTCCACTTCTCCCAATTTGCAGATCTTCACACGAAGCACTAGATCCTGCAAAGAAAGGCGCAGTAATTCAGGGGTTTGCTGTTCCGAAAGCAACTTTTCATGGCGGTGTCTAGTGAACAAGTGGAAGCAGATACCGTTCTGGACACGTCCAGCACGACCACGACGCTGTTTAGCGTTCGCACGCGAGATGAATGACTCAACAAGACGGGATAATTGACGTCTCTCATCGAAGCGCATGATCTTCTCCTTTCCTGCGTCGACCACAGCAGTGATATCTGGGATGGTGATACCTGTTTCCGCAATGTTCGTTGCAATAACGATCTTTCGTATGCCTTCCGGGGGTATGTTAAAAGCCTTTTCTTGGTCTTCACTGGCAATTGAGGAGTGAAGCGTATGCACAATCCAGCCCCTCTGGAACATTGGCTCGGACAGGATCTCGTCGTTTAGTCGACGGATTTCCGCCAGTCCAGGCATGAAGATCAAGATCGCCTTGCTGTAGTGAGTCATCTCCGGGGCCGTAGCAATCTTCAGAAGCAACCTCTTGATCAGGTCGTAGTCTAGTCTGTACTCATCGATGTTGATGATAGTCTCCTTGGTCTGTCTAGAGTACCCATCAAGACTGGCTTGGAGACCTCCTGTGGTGTCAGCATCCGTGGGTGGGTCATCCATATCATCGTCGAGGACTGTGTGCTGGACATCCTCCGACAAACGGTAGTTGGTCATCTCGACCGCATCCTCCAGGTACTTCATTTCCACTGGGAAAGTTCGCCCTGGGATGTTCAAAACTGGTACCCCGCCGAGATAGTTCGAGAAACGCTGCGCATCAAGGGTGGCAGACATGAGGATGAGTTTTAGGTCAGGCCGCTTCTGCATGAGTCGTCGGAGCACGATCAGAAGGAAGTCACTGTCGATAGTGCGCTCGTGAACCTCATCAAGAACTACATGAGTGATATCTTGGAAGTCATCGGGCCGTTCGAGCATTCGTACAACCACTCCCGTGGTACTATAAAGCATTAGTTGAGCGACCACAAAGGTAAAACCGAGAGAGAAGTGAGGACTTACGCGTATATCAATGGCGTGGATTGAGTGAACTTGCTTTCCAATCGTACCGCAAATCCAATGAGGGACCTATTCGTGCCCACTTCATTCTTGCTCTCTCCAAGCTCTTCGCTAACACGTCGAGCAAGCGAGATTGCAGAGATACGACGGGGCTCGGTCACATAGATCTTGCATGGTCGGCCTTGGATCATCTCATGCTCGAGAATGAATGACGGAATCTGTGTACTCTTTCCACTACCTGTTTCACTGCAAATGATCAGAGCTCGGTGATCATCGAGCGTGCTCAGGATCTCGTCTTTAAAGGCCCAGATTGGGAGGTTCATTCTACCCTGCATCATGCGGTGATAGGAGGGCGTCGACGATTTAGCCATCCATGCTTCTTTCGAGCGGTCATCGATACCCGAGTAATTGTCACGCGCAGACCCTTTCATCGGGGCGCCCGGCTTGCTAGCAACGCCGTTCCTCTTCCGGAAGTTGTCAGATAGAACGACATCATCTTCGAAGGTGCCTTGGTTCTCTTGGATTAGACGCTTCAACTCTTTCACAGTATTTTTGTCGACTTCATCCTGCTGGGCCTTCTGCAGCGTTGCGAACTCAGTCCAGAGTTCTCTCCAAACCGCTGGCAACCGTAGGTAAGCCTTGCCCTCCTTGGAATTCTGGGGGAACAATATGAACAAAGCCAGAGTCGACACGTATCCCTCAGCCTGCTGGGCATTCGGTGTGGTAATGCCATCCATTGACACAAAAGTAGCCAAGGCATTCGACTTGTGTGTAATCGATTCCACTGCTAACGGGAATGGGGCTTCTTGGGGCTTCGACCATCGCACCTCGAGAGCCTTCCTATTCGAATGAATTGAAGAGGAGAAATCCTGGTAGACAACCACGCAAGATGAATCTCTTGATTTACAAGTCTCTTCCAAGACTCGCCGTGGGCTCAGACCTGTCGATTTCCCAAAGTCGCGGAGTGTGAACGGGGTCTGGATCTCTGGAGGGATACCTAAAATCGAGCCTGAATCCTCAGCCTCGGCTTGGAACAAGTCCCCAAGGGCATCCTCCATCCCATCGATCGTAAGGAGCTCCGGGTCTAGCTCTTCGTTGATCTCGGGCTTTGGCTGATCTCCTGCATCGGTCGGAGGCTTTTTCTTTCTGTCCACCGGGCGCCGAATAAATGAAGCATCCTTTCTGAGCTCGTCAAGCTTTTGCTCCCATATGTACTCTGCTTCTCGGCGTTCGAAAAGGACATCACGTTCGATCTTGGCAATCTTCCGCTGCAGTTTAGAGGTTTCAGGGTCATCTGACAGATTGCCAGCGCCGCCTCGACCCTTCTTGCCCTTTCCGGGGCGATCGAAAAGATCTGGCTCCAGGCTATAAAGTTGAGTCTGTAGCTCTAGCCATTCGGGAACCATGATATCTGGGTCGACTGAGCTGTCCGAGTCGTATGAAATAGGAGGAGCAACCTTTGCTGCCTTCCAGTCAGCCTTCTTGTTTCCTTGCTTGCTTCGATTTTGGGATGAAACAGGAGTTGAAGTCCCTGAAGCCTTGGATTCTGCTAATAGTCAGCATTATGTTTAACGGAAAACTTCAAGCCATGGAGGTTTTACCTGTCATCCATGAGGTGACACTATCCGCGTCTTTCAGTTGGCGAGTATTTGTCTGTGTGTAAGAGGGCAATTCGTTCTTATCACTGTGCGTAGCCAACCATTCCATTGCTTCCTCCAGATTCCACACAACATCTCGACCAGCACTGGTTGAGTTACCAGCAAAATATTGCAAAACATGCTTCAGTGCATCCTCGACGCGGTTTTCTGGGAAGTCGAGTTTGAGCAGTGTTTCCTTCAAAGTCCAAAGTTTGTTGTATAGTTCCTCCTCGGAGCCAGCCTGTTTTGAACTTGTGATCCGTCCACTTGCTATAAGATAGTCATGCTCTTCGGTACCGGCCAGTTCGAGAATACTGTCTTGAATATCTGTCGGTAACCACTCCAGAAGGTTCAATGTTACTGATTGCTGTCGGAAAACGCGGCGTTCGTTCTCCAGCTTGGTGGCCTGGCGCGCTGCGTCATTTTTACACTTGACGGCGTATTTATCAACCAGAATCTGGAGCTCTGCTTCTTCAAAATGCTTTTCTAGCTCCTCCGGTGTGTAATCTTGTAACGAGGTGGTCGTTTGTGGTGCGGCGGCATCTGCAGTGCGTTCAGGTTGCGGCTCGTTTTCCGGCGTGACTTTTGATTCTTCGGTGACTGGAGGAGGTGTTGATATTGCCTCTGGCTTAGGCTTTGAGGGCATAGAAACTGTCGCAAAGCCTCGAGCCGGATTGGAGGCGGGCTTCTTCTTTTTCTTGCTGCTGGGCGGCATTATGGCTGAATTATCAGCGGGCCCAGCGGAGGAGTCTTCAAAGCACGCTGAAAGTCAGCGGTCAAAGACCAATAAATTTGGCCTGTGAAATACTGTGAAATATGGTGTGAAATATTCCCAAAAAGGGTGTTGAAATATGTAAAGAACGAAGAGTCGGCCATGCCTGTTTAATGGCGGGATGGAATCCAGCTCCCCACACAAAACTCTTATGACAGCATTCCTAGCCCACTTCACCAACTTCACACTCTCTGAACCAACCCCTTCTCTCTCCATTCCCCCGTATTGACCGCCGATCATGGATGGAATTCCATGGGACCAGGTCAAGGCCGGGGATCTGGATGCCTTGCAGGTCGTTCTCCTCTCGAGTTCGACCTCGCGCAGGCTCCGGGCCCTGCAAGAACTCCGCGACAAGAATGGTAGCGTGATAATCCATGGCCTCATGGCAAGCAGATTCACTAACTATTCATTCTATAGGGTCTGAACTATCCCCAGAAACCCATCACGATATACTAGAGTTGCTTTTCCGCACCTATCCTCTCTATGTCGATCGATCCTCCCGACAGGCGGTTCAACGATGCCTCCGCTCTCTCCTCCGCGGTCCCAATGCGACCGAAGAGTTAAAATTCCTTACGCAAAAATTGCAAATCGAGGCATCTAGACCAGGTCTGGCTTCCTCATTTGCATTTGTTTTGTTGGAATGGTGCTGTATTCTGTTGCAGCAGGCTAGCGAGGACCAGAACACACCGTTGGCCACTGTGCTAGATCTGATTGCGGTTGATGCCAAGGCGCTGGAAAATTGTCTTTCCCACAATCCCAAGTCTGCAGTAAAGCAGTCAGCCCTCCGAGTAACAAGACGTGCCTTGCGCGCCGTATTTTCGTCCGAGGCATGGGGTGTTGATGCAGTGCGGCAGTCTGTTAGCCGACTGACTGCAGACTCTACCGCAGCCTACAAGAATGCGCCTCTTCTTGGTGTCGTATGTGGAGTCTGCGCGCGGCTAGCAGACAAGGCGTCAATCCTCGAAGAGTCGAAGAAAGAGATTTTGGCTTTCTACATCAAGGAGGTCGTCAGCTCAAAATCTGCTGTGCCCGCACATGTCGCCAATGGAATGTCTGACTTCTTTACTTCCTTCGTGACATATGAAGATATCGCCACCGAATTGGTTCCTCCCATGGAAAAGTCCATACTACGAGCGCCGGAGGTGATTCTCGGAGGCGTGATTCCTCCTTTCTGTGCCTCTTTGCCGGAAGAAATTGATCTCTCGGAAATGGTGCATACACGCCTTTGCAAGCATCTTTTAACTAGCATGAAGTCAAATAACCCATCAATTCGTCAAGGAGCATCTGACTCTTTTGCATCCTTGCTCTCTCGATGCAGAACTGATCCCTTGGTCTTGAAGATCACGAGTGAAATCATTGGTCCTCTGAAAACCCAGAAGATTACTACTCCTGAGCACCGTTTGGCTTACGCCCAAGCCATTGCGGCTATTTCACCCTCGGCGGATGTCTCTCGAGAGATTGTTCAAGGATTCTGCCCCGTCTTTTCACGGGAGTCGAACGAAGCTGCTCTGGAAGAGGAGATCAAATCCTTCAGCAAGCACCTTACTTACCTCGTTCAATCCAAGCTCAAGGTTAGCGATGATGTTGTCAGCACTATCGTTAAGGGTGTATCCGATAAGCGAATTCCGTTCCGGAAGATCTGGCAAGCAAGTGTGGGAGAAGTCCTATGGAAGTCCGATCTTGAGGATTTGAAGACTCCTGAAATTGAACCACTTGTCACCAAGTTCGTCGCCAAGATGAAGGATTTGTTTGGTGAGGTTGCTTCCAACCCGCTTCCCTCCGCCCAAAGCGGCGCTCTATCTTCGGCTTATCTCTTCCTGGCTCTGTTCCACCGAGTTTCCGATGTTCAAGAGTCTGCTAGGCCTGCTTGGGAGGAGAATGTAGCCCAATCGATGACACTCAGTCCCAAACCTTCTTTCCTCCTCAATCCCAAGGCATACTCGAAGTTGAGTTCCAAGGAAGAGATCCAGTGGTTTGTCAGGGCTCTGGCCGCCGTTACCTCCGGATCCAAGTTTGCTGGCTCTGAAGACGCATCCAAGACGGCTTGGGCTCAGGCCTTTATCTACGCAATTACTGCGCCTGCTATTCCCTCAAACATTCGCGAGAGCTCCGCAGAAACTTTATCCCGAGTCTATTTGACGGATGTGGCCTCTTTTGGGCGCATTGTTCTCAATGCACTGTGGGCCTGGATCTTTTCATTCCGGACCGCGGAGAAGGAATCGGCAGCCTTTTCTGCTGGATCAGAGAGTGAACGCCTGCTTCATATGGTCTTGAAGGCCCTGTGCCCAACCAAGGCTGTTGTGGGATCCTCTGGAATTTCCTCTTCCGATCTGGAAGTTCTGCTCATTGAACTTCTGGTTTTGGGTCGACCTGAGTTGATTCCGAACACCTCATGGATTGATTTATGCTTGAGGACCGGCACCGACCCTGGAAATCTTGTGCGCGCACACCCTGAGAAGTGTATTGAGCAGTTGGTTCGCGTCAACGCAGACCCTGTGCAGTCAGCGGTGCCGAATGTTAACCTTGCTGTCTGGAGCGCTGGGGCTGAATTGGCATTTGTTGCCCCCGATGCAATGATCCCGCGTTTGGTTGATCAGATTAAATATGATTTGGACGGCACTCGCCTATCTAAGTTCACTGCCACTGACGCCGCCATTTCACGCACCCCCGAAGGAACCGCTTTCATCGATGTGCTCAGCAGCAAGTCGAAGCAGCCTGCCTTCGATAAGAGCACTAAGGACTATGATACTCTGAAGTGGGAACAAGAGCTCCGTGCGCAATTAGCTGAAAAGAAGGGCCAAAGCCAAAAGAAGCTTACGCCTGAGGAAAATTCCAAGGTTAAAGCCCAGCTTTCCAAGGAGGCCAAGATCCGTCATGAAGTTTTGGAAGAAGTCAAGCGGATCGAAAGAGGAGCGGGCCTTATCCAGGGCCTCGTAACGGGTCCCGCCAACGACGTCGAGGGATGGATCAACGCTGCCGTCAGTTCTTTGCTATCCCTTGCTCAGGCTGGCGCCGGTCTATTTGTCGGTGATGTTGTCTCCCGGGCGTTCATCACTTGTGCCGACGAGGTGTCCACCCGCCTTGGTCCTCTGCGTTCTTTCGTCGGCATCGCAACACTGCGAGCCATCGGCAACACCAATCTCCCCACCGATATGGAATTAGAGCCCCTCGGAGAACTCGTCACAAGAATCCTCTACCGATTGCGCTTTGCTTCTGAGCAGCGTCCTTTCGATGCCACATCTCTCGCATACGTCCTTCCTCTTATCTCTCTGGTTTTGACTCAGAATGGCATTGAAGAAGCGAAAGGAGAAGAAGAAGGCACCCAAGTTCTCCTTGCTCTTGAGTTCCTGTCCTTCCACTCTGGCTCTTGTGAGTTTTACTTATACACCAGTGTGAAACCAACTTCTAACGTTCTTATGTAGTCGCCGACGCCCGTCTTCCTCGCGTCGAGGTTCTAGGTCAGCTTCTATCCGCCATGCAGAGATACACTCAGCACTACAAGCTGGTCAAGGACACCTTGTTCGACTTCTGCCGGTGCATCTCGCCGAACATCAACAGTGAGGAGCTGGATACGCTTTTGCAGGGAACCATTGTCGCCGAGTCCTCCGTCCGAACAACTGTTCTTCAGGTCGTTGAGGCTGAGATCGATCTGACTGACCTCGATTTCTCGGAGCACATCTGGCTTGGCTGCCACGACATCGTGGAGGAGAATGCTGACATTGCAGACACGATCTGGGAAGACAATGCACTGGAGGTGGATGACACCTCGTTCAGCAAGATCATGAAATATTTGGACTCCAAGGACCACCAGCTTAGAGGTGCTGCTGCTCGCGCTTTGGCACATGCCATTGAATTTGATAAGAGCAAGTTTGCGGGCATTCTGTCTGAACTGCAGTCCAAATATGTGGAAGAAATCAAACCTAAGGCACCCGAAAAGGACGCCTACGGAATGCCTAAGAAAATAGACAATGCAGACCACTGGGAAGCTCGCAGTGGTATTGCGCTGGCCTTCAATGCCATGACGCATGGATTCGACGGTGACGCGGCTGTCTCCTTTTTGCGATTCTTGATTGAAAAGGGTCCCTTGCTCGATGGAAATTCCCGGGTCCGTGGCCAGATGACAGAGAGTGGTAAATCTATCATCATTTTGCGAGGAGAGTCAAAGGTTGAGGAGATGATGAAACTGCTCCAAACAACCCTGGAAACCTCGGATAAAGACACAAAAACCTCTGACCTGCTGAATGAGGCTGTCATCGTGTTATATGGATCTGTGGCGACACATCTCAAGGCAGATGATCCTCGCTTGCAGACTGTTATCAGTGAACTGCTCGTGGCTCTCGATACCCCTTCGGAGTCTGTGCAGCACGCTGTGTCCGAGTGTCTGCCACCGTTGATCAGATTGTCTGGTTCCAAGACGGCAGAATATGTGGAAAACCTACTCTACCGACTTTTCAATGCCCCCGACTATCCTCGTCAACGCGGTGCTGCGTACGGTCTTGCTGCGGTCGTGTGTGGCAGAGGTGTCGCAACATTGCGGGAGTACCGAATCATGAGCCAGCTCAAGGAGGCCACTGAGAACAAGAGAGAAAAGGATCACCGACGGGGCGCTTTGTTGGCTTATGAGCTTTTCGCCTTGGTTCTGGGCCGAACCTTTGAGCCTTATGTGATCCATCTCGTACCCCAGCTTCTGGGAGGATTTGGTGACACCAGCATTAGCGTCCGCGATACTTGCCTGGAGGCTTCAAGGGCTTGCTTCCAGAACCTCAGCTCTTACGGTGTCAAGGAGATTCTCCCCACCCTACTCGATGGCTTGGACGATACGCAATGGCGTAGTCAGAAGGGTGCTTGCGATCTGCTTGGAGCCATGGCCTATCTGGACCCGCAGCAGCTTGCAGCCAGTTTGCCTGATATCATTCCGCCTTTGACGATTGTGCTCAATGACA